AATGCCACCAATATCTCTCAGCCTTATTTCCCTAGCAATCTGAGAATAATTTCAGTATATCCTTAATAACCACATTTATCATATGATGAATTAAACATTGGAATCTGTCTAAAGAATAAACATAACAAATAGAAAAAAAACCATAATAACCTTATGTTGCAATACATTTCAGTAACTAGCTTGGAGCCTCGAATAAAAGGTTCATATCTAACCAGAGACACCTTAAAGAAGCTACAAATACAGTAAGCAAACAAACATGAAGCAATATCTCTAACAAAGATGTATCAGTTCCAAAGTGAATAATATTGACTCTCCAGAGAAAGAGACATCAACAAAATTTCTTGAATTAGAATGATGAATACTAGCTTATGGTCAAAGCAAAAACGAGCATATAACATCTCATTTGTATTGGTTTATGGGTTTCTTCCTTTTCCTTTCCCTTTCTTTTCACAAGTTTCTTAAAGTTTGAATCAAATTAATGTGACTTACATAGCACCAGTAGAAAAGCAACCAGAGGTTGCCCTGAAGGCTTTGGCCAAGCAGTAAGAGTGCAGAGTGTGATGTGTGGGTTAGGCGCACGTCACGAGTTAGAATATTGTCGTAGACAAAAGCCTGGTATTCAATAGGAGAAGTTTAGAGGGCAGACCCATTATCCACCGGTTTCAAACCGTGCGACACCAGTCCTCGGGGATTTCTCCGTTATCCAAAAAAATGAAAACCAGATGTTTAGCAATAAAAGTGACTTGCTATGTCCTTCAATATTCCCAAACCAATAGAAGAATCAAAACGATACTGCAAATGTTCTCTCTGTAGTTTCCGTTATTAAACAAAGTTAGTTTTCCATAATAGATCATTTACGGAATTTTCTTCTGTTCTGGAACCTAATAAGTTACTAATAAGCGACAAATGACTACTTGAATCAGGCGCCTTATGTGCCATAGGAAAAAAGAGAAGCAATATAGCATGCCCGAATTTATAGAAAAGGATCTTCTAAGCATATAGCTCTAACAGAAAGATCGAAGCATCTTTCCATCAAACACTAAGCATCTCCTAATTTACAGAAAAAGGGTCTTCTAAGCATCACCCGATTTATTTTCCAACTACCCAAATGCACCTGGTAACCAACTTTCTCAGGTGCAGAAAATCAATGCTCTAGGAATATAATACGTAATCATAACAAGATACAGGTCTACATACTTGTCTGGCAGCTGCAAGGTTAACATTTAGAATAGCTATCTCTTGTGAAGTCCCTTGACCAAGCACACAATGCCCACCATTTACATCGATGGAGACTAAAGCCTCTGTCTGTTCAATCACTAGATAACCTCCGTTATCAAGGGGAACCCTGCAGATTTTACAAATTAAAGGGTTAAAGAAAAACATCATTTTAACAGGAAAATATGTTGATTCACCAAAAAAGTTAAAATAACCTCATAAAAGAATGTAAAGCTAAAAGAAAGTACTAGGAAAAAAACTAAGTAATTTCCACCTTTTGCTGAGAATGTTGTCTATTTCTTCCTCAATCTTATATTCATCAAACAGCGGAGTTCTTTTGCCATACAACTCAACTCTTTCACACAGATTAGGTGCAATTTCTTGAAGATAGTTTGTAACCTGAACAGAGCCCAGTTATACATATATATTAGAGCACAATAAAATTCAACAGATCCCTAACAATTGCTAGCCCACAAGCTTCAATAAAAGGCATTAATCCAAATTTCTCAAGTATGAGAACATGATCTGAAGTTGTCTAAACCCCACCATAATGAAAAAGAGGAGTAAGGAAAACCAACTGATTTGAAGTCTATCTATCATGTATATTGTCCTCACTATGTTTATATGTCAGCATGACATTTCTTTCGGATATTAAATTGAATGCTATATCTGACTACAGTTTGCTTTTTCTTCTAATGTCACCTTCAAAGTTAGAGAATGCCTTGATTTAACCAGAGAGCTAATACTGAAACAAGCTAAATGGTGCATGCCAAAATGGTCTAAAGACCAGCTACATTGTTGGAATAGAAGAGGACCATAAAAAGGCGACAAAAAGTTGTCGAACACTATAACAGCGACTGTACTGTGGACTGTATGGAAGGAAATAAATACTTTGAAAGGTAAAAAGGAAAATACTTGCAACTTAAAGCACAGATCACGTTTTAGCGTAAAAATGAAAGTTAATTTCCGCAGTTCTTTTCACAAGTAGCTAATATACTGAGATGCATACTGCAGATTGTTGTACTACTCATCCATTGCAAACTCTGGGTGGTATTCTTTTATAAAATATTCATTACATTTTCAAAAAAAAAAACTAAGAAAAAATACTGAAACAAGCTAGTTTTACTTCTTAAATAGTTTATTCACTGAGGTCGTACTAATCCAAAATAATCTCATTCACCACCAGTATTTGCAATCCTCATTGCCAAAAACCACTCAGCATTGGAAATGAAAATTATCAAAACCGCTTCCATGCTTACATATAACAAACTATCTCAAAGGAACATAAAACACCAAGCAAGACATGCAATTGCGTTTATTGGTCAAAAACCTTTTCACTTCCACTGCCTGATAAATGGCTAAGTCCATACCTCATGATATGTCCTTGGAGAATCAACCACCAAACTCTTCACCTGAACATCAAGGCCAGCATAAGAAAGTATAACATGTATTCGTGCTAATTTAAGGAAGGCCAGCCCTAACCAGAAGTTCCATCAAAAAATAAACTGAACAATCCATGAAGGGAAGAACCAAGATTGAGCAGACCTGATCGCTAAAATAATCCTGAACAACAGAGAGTGTTTGACCCATTGCCTGGTGAAGCATAACGGGAACTGCTCCATCAACACCTTCATCTGCGGCAAGAGCTGCTGACTTTGCATGCTCAATTATACTTTTCCAAGTTGAAAGCAAGCCTTCCAAGTCCTTCTGCAATTCAGTTAATGAATGACCGGCTGCAACTGTCCTTACCGTAAGACCAAACCCTTGAGGCTGCAAAGTTTTTGCAATGACTCTTAAACGTGTGCGCTCAACACCAGCGATCTTCTTTGAAATACCTATTGTGTTGCCGCGAGGAGCTAAAACCTGGGAAGAGGAGAACCAATTAGATTGGGGCTTCTAAAAATGGACTTTCAGCTGTGAGAGACAGAATCATGAAACATGTAATACCCAGAATCTGCTCCTTAATTTTGGATAAGCAGTCAGTGTCGGGCCCTTCGTGCCCAATCCTTCTTTAACAACTTGAGCAATTATTTTAGTGCCTTTCCGGACTTTGACCCACTTGCTTTCATCTCTTTGTGAAACTTTATTACCATTCACAGTATGCTCAATAGTTGGATTCTGCGATTGGTACCCAATTCCACTGGATTCTTCCAGATATTTCTCTGAATGAGATTCAAGCCCATGCTCAGTTACAGTACCATTACAATTTTCTACAAGGACTTCTGAAAAATTACAAGTGTCACCCCTTTCATGCTCCCCAAACTCATTGTCCATGTATTCCATGGAATCGTCCTCTATATCAGCATCTTCAATCTCATCTCTGTCCACTTCTTCTAAAGTGGATTCATTTCCAGGAAAACCTTGATTCTCTTCAAGCATGTCCACCACAGTACCATTAATTATTTTTCCCCTTGAATCATGACAAAATGGGGGGAAAATAAATGGTTCTCTGTTGGGCTTTATATCCATAAAGGAGGGTCTTGAAGTGCCAATATTTACAAATGCACCACCCATGTGTGGAACTAACTTTGTAACTACTCCTAGATATACACTATCGCACTGCACATTATTTTTCACCGGTTCCAGCAACAGTTCAACCAGTTTCTTATTTTCCAAAACAGCAATTCTTTGCACAGTACATACCGAAGAATTAATCAGAATAATTGTTGTAACTGAGTCTTCCTTGGAAATTGCATCATTTTGATCAACAGGCAACAACTTCTCAGGTATTTGTTCATGTTGATTGCTAGATGAAGGTTGAGCTAATTGTTCAAGTTGATTGCTAAATGAAGGTTGAGCTTCATCCTCTTTATCTGACTGTTCAACTTTACGGTCGTCAGGAGCCGTCTCAGCATCAAAACTAGGAGAAGAGGTACATGCTTGAAGTAACCAGGGCTCCTCCACATAGGCATATGTTTCATACGAGGTTCCTGATGAAGCATAATTAGCATTTACCTCATACTTGGACCAGAAATTCTCACTAAGTGTAGACTGCTTTAAGCATCTTGATTCTAAATTTTCACAGTCAAGACCCTTAACTATCTTGTCATCACAAATGAAATCAACAGGAGCATCTGACTCTGCCAAATGATGAAGAAGCGAGGAAGATTCGCATAGCCATGGCTCCTCAACGGTCTGATCTTCGGTTGAAAAACTTTTGCCACAATCTGAAGCTGTATCAATTTCATCTTTGAAAAAACTATCCTCGTCTATAAAATCAATCAAGACCTGCTTTAGGATGGAAGAATTGCTGTTCAAGCATTTCGCAGTACCATTCCCATCTGCCAAATCACTCGAAGCATTTAATATCTAAACAAAATAATTGCATAAATCAGAAAGATTACACATGAGTATAACTCATCCACAAAAGAAATCATAGTATAGCATAAGTAATACCACTAGCACGAGCTGGAATGAACAGACGGATAGGAATAGATCTCTCCACTATCCAGGATCCACATATGCTTCCCAAAGGCCTCCTTGTACGAGATTTAATCCACAAGTCACTTGAAAAAGCTTTTCCTTTTTGTTTAGAAGGTACCAACACAGACACATCGTGTGTAGCTTTGCATAAAGCAGCAGACGAAGTAAACATATCTCCCTTTATAGAACAGTTGCATCTCAGATTTCCTGAATGCAGTATCTGCTAAGACCCACAAGAGCTTAGTCACACTAGATGATGAGCAAAACTCAGTATCTGGTACATTCTCAAAGCATTCAGAGTACCAGAATGGCGAAGGCAATATCTGTGAGATAAGGGTAACTACCCTTATATAGAGAGTGATCTAGCTTTCCTCGTAAGGTGTTTATTTTTTTTACCTGCCAACTTCAACTTGTGGAAGATAAAGTACTTTAATATTTCAGAAAAACATATTTACTCGTCAAGAAAAGACTCGTTAGAGAAAATATTCTCAAGAGGAGGTGCAACAGCGTGAAGAAAGTATTTTTAGAGTTAAATGAGGGAACTTTTTGCCAGATTAATCAGGTCAATTAGGTATAAGAATATCAAGACATAACAAGGAATTTATGAAAAAGGGCTCTTGCTAATTGGCGAGGCAGAACTCTATACTTTTTAATATGAAAAAAAAAAACTGAAACAAGTGAAGTAATTATTGTCCTCTGTGAGTGTTTGACTGTAAAATTTCGTTTATGGGGTAAAATTGCTCTCGTTACTTGTTATCTAATCAATCATATGCATTCTTCTCGTTTGAACTATGTCAAGAAACGTAAGTGCGCCATGAATGGACTAATGGCTATGCTTTCATGAGTTTGCTGTCAGGAACTAATCTTTAAATGACAGAAGTGGAGCGAATTCTTCTAAATAAACGAAATGCAAAAGCTTCAATTAAAGTGTCCGATCACAATTGCACTCCTACGGTCACTCCCCCTTCCGCCACACCACCCGGCGGCCAGCCCACATAAAAACGTAGGAACCCCAGAAAACAAAATGATAAAGAAGGAAGTGAAAGATAGCATAAGCATTCATTCAGTAGCATAAACACCGACAAATTGAGGTACAAGCAGCTATTTTAATCGTCCCAAACACTTTTTAAAGTATTGAAAGCTGATAGAGGAAAAGTGGTTAAGAAATGAATATAGGAAACAGCAAATAGATAGAGAGAAGATAAAAGAAAAATAACCTGGATAAAAGCTAAGCTACTGTTCAGCAATAAAGGAGGAGAGAAACATATGTAAAGTCCCCTGTGCTGTTTATCTAGTACTTCCGACAGCATAGGAGAACGGCTAACTCTGCTTCTTCAAAGATAAGGAGCGACTAGCGGGTCCTTCCCATTTCCCTTGGGGTATTTTCATTTTCTATTCCATTTTTTCCTTTTCTACTTAAATAAAGAAAAGAAAATACAGTAAAAGGGTAAATTGCAAAGAAGAACACCCTAGTCTATTGAGATTGTAATTACCTTATCTCTGTTATGAATAGTTTGTACATTGGATACTACTTTGGATGCTACATTGGATGCTCGTGTTGTGAATAACTTAAAAGATTAAATTTCCTACTTTATGTCCATCATGTTTACTTTTTATGCCTATAAAAGGTCATGTAATTGCAATGGAAAAATACACCAAAGTGAAAGAAGAAAACACTTCTCCCTTCTTTCTATCTCTTCTTATTTACATTTTACTGCATTACTTTTATTTTATTACACGTTGTCAGCACGAAACTCTAATTTTATTCTTAACTCCCGCTAAGTTGAGCCATATTTTATTAAGGTATGTATCATTATAATCATCTTATTTATGGCAGTACATATCATATGCTCACTGTTTGCAGATTACTTGTGCGCTTGGGCATCTTAAATAGTTTAAGTACATTGCAGTGATTAAATAATTATTTCCTTCCGTGTTCAACTCTTAGAGGACCTCAAAGTCATCAAACTAGCTATGCACTAATGTCATGGACTCCCTGGATCAAAACATATCTTTAAGGCATTTTGAAGAACTGTGAGAAATGAATTGACAAGCAATAATTTTTTAATTACNTCTTGGAAATACTATTATATAAGGAAATGAAGCATCAAATCAGGATAAAGCGAAAGCCATGATTTTCCTTCGTCATCATCTACATGAAGGGTTAACAACTGCATATTTAACCGTAAAAGATCCACTTGAATTATGGATTAATTTGAAGGATCGATATGACCACCT